TCATGATATCAGAGCAATAAAAAAGTTTCACCAGATTCTTTACTTAATCCTTTAATAGTGCTTTTTCAGGAAACGTTTAAAACAGTTTCCTATATAGGATGTGGGCTGCTGGCCCTTGAATTCAATCAAACAATACATAATCAAAGCTATTACTTTTTTTTTTTTTAAGACAGAGTCTAACTCTGTCACCAGGCTGGAGTGCAGTGGTACGATCTTGGCTCACTGCCACCTCCGCATCCCGGGTTCAAGTGATTCTCTTGCCTCAGCCTCCTGAGTAGATGGTACTACAGGCTTGCACCACCACACCCAGCTAATTTTTGTATTTTTAGTAGAGACAGGGTTTCACTACGTTGGCCAGGATCATCTTGGTTTCTTGATCTTGTGATCCGCCCACCTCAGCCTCCCAAAGTGCTGGGATTACAGGTGTGAGCCACCGCGCTGTACCTTCAGTCTTTGTTTTTCCAACTAGACAGGCTTAACTAGTGTTATCCCAGCACTTTGGGAGGCTGAGGCAGGCTGATCACAAGGTCAGAAGATTGAGACCATCCTGGCCAACATGGTGAAACCCCATCTCTACTAAAAATACAAAAATTAACTGGGCATGGTGGCACGTGCCTGTAATCCCAGCTACCCGGGAGACTGAGACAGGAGAATCGCTTGAACCAGGAGGTTGGAGGTTGTGGTGAGCCGAGATTGCACCACTGCACTCCAGCCTGGCAACAGAACGAGACTCTGTCTCAACAATAACAACAACAACAACAATGAATAGCTGTACTTCTTCCATGGCTGTGCAGAGCTTCTAGCAGCAACAGAGCAGGGATGCCAGCCCTTTTAAAGGCTCTGTCCCAGAGCTGCAAAGCATCACCTCCATGGAATGCTAGTGTTTGTTAAATAACCTAGTTTATTCAGCATCAATTGAAGGGGCAAGAGCTACACCAGGGCATGAATTTTGGGAGGCATAATTCTTTGAGAACTTCTGCAGCTGACTAGTATATGTACTTTTGGAATTTTTTAAAAGAAAATTTTGTTGCCTACATAAAAATCATAGCGTAATAGCTCTATGACCTATACTTTACAGACAGAGGGATAATGTTTATAGCAATATTCAGGTTTCTTCTAACATGGTAGAAATACACTGATAGTGGTAGCTGTTGAGTGAAAGATGAATTAATTCTCTTGTTTCTCTGTTGGAAATACCAGTGGAATAGTAAATAAATGCCCCCAGCTGTGGTCAACATATTTTTCCTGCACTGTTCATTGGCTGTTATCAAACCTTTACAGTAAACTTGTTCAGCAAGTTTATTGGGCACTGCTGGGTGCCCCAAATAGCTAGTTGGTATTTAAAAATCTGATCTCATGTGCTTTTCTTTCTCTTCACCACTTGTGACCCTGTAGCTCTTTGGTCATTTAAATTAAGCCACAAGTCTCAAGCTGTCAATGAAGGGAAGACCAAAAACAACACAGTGTGAACAAATAGTCAAATTCTTGGCTTTGTTTGTTTGTTTGTTTTGAGACGGAGTCTTGCTCTGTCACCAGGCTGTAGTGCAGTGCAGTGGCGCGATCTTGGCTCACTGCAACCTCTGTCTCCCAGGTTCAAGCGATTCCCCTGCCTCAGCCTCCTGAGTAGCTGGGATTACAGGTGCACGCCACCACGCCCAGCTAATTTTTGTATTTTTAGTAGAGACAGGGTTTCATCATGTTGGCCAGGATGGTCTCAATCTCCTGATGTCATGATCCGCCCACGTAGGTCTCCCAAAGTGCTGGGACTACAGGTGTGAGCCACCACACCGGACCAATTCTTGGCTTTTTGTTCTAAAATAAGCTTTTATAATTCTTAGTAGAGTGATTTTGTATTTGTAAAATCTGAAGTTTTTAGAGAGGAAAATATGTGGGGCTTCACGGCAGCGATTGGTTGGAGGATAAAGAATGTGGAACTCATATCTTAAACAACAGAGTAGAAGATGTGAGATGACCAAGAGCAGTTTCCTTCCAAAAAGACTAAGTACAACCACTTTGGAAAACCGTTTGGCAGTTTCTAATAAAGCGAAACTTACATCTACCCTTTGACCCAGCAAGTTTATTCCTTATCTAGGGACTCCCAGTGCTGGTAGATCAATGTACCCAAGAGAAATAAAAATATATGTCCAAACATATTTGTATGTAAACATTCATTGCAATTTTATTCATGGTAGTAAAAAAATTGGGAATAATCCAAACATCTATTAGGTGTCTAGATAAACATCTGTAATTTTTTCATACGGATTTTAAAGATGTGACTTACTTAACAGAAGAGAAGGTATATGAAATTCTTGAATTATGCAGAGAAAGAAGATTATTCCCCTTTAATTGGAGTTATTGGGAGAGTTTTTTCTAATGCTGAGGCATTGGTACAGAGCTTCTAGAAAGTTACACGGCATACCAAGGAAGAACTGAAATCTCTTCAAGCAAAGGATTAAGGCAGGGATGAAGATGAAAAGGAAAAATCTGCATGTTCTCCTACTGCTATGGAAGAAGACTCAGAAGCATCTTCAAAGGTGGGTGATAGCTCACAGGGAGACAGTTTGCAGACATTAGGCCCTGATGATGTGTCTGTGGATGTTGATGCCATTAGAAGAGTCTACACCAGATTGCTCTCTAAGGAAAAAATGGAAACTGCCTTTCTCAATGCACTCATATATTTGTTACCTAACGTGGAATGTGACTTGATGTATCACAACGTATGCTCTTGAGATCCTAATTATCTGCATTTGTTCATTAGCGTAATGGAGAATAGAAATCTCCACAGTCCTGAATATCTGGAAATGGCTTTGCCATTATTTTGCAAAGCAATGAGAAAGCTACCCCTTGTAGCCCAAGGAAAACTGATGAGACTGTGGTCTAAATACAATGCAGACCAGATTCGGAGAATGATGGAGACATTTCAGCAATTTATTATTTATAAAGTCATGAGCAATGAATTTAACAGTTGAAATCTAGTGAACAATGATGATGCCATTATTGCTGCTTCCAAGTGCTTGAAAATGGTTTACTATACAAATGTAGTGGGAGGGGAAGTGGACACAAATCACACTGAAGAAGATGATGAAGAGCCCATCCCTGAGTCCAGTGAGCTGACACTTCAGGAACTTTTGGGAAAAGAAAGAAGAAACAAGAAAGGTTCTTGAGACCCCCTGGAAACTGAACTTGGTGTTAAAACATTGGATTGTCAAAAACCACTTATCCTCTTTTGAAGAGTTTACTGATGAACCACGGCATTAGGTTCTAGAAATGGATAAAGATTATACTTTTTTTAAAAGTAGAAACAAATTCTCTTTTATGATATGTCCCTTTATATTGTATGCTGTCACAAAGAATTTGGAATTGTATTATGACAATAGAATTTGCATGTACAGTGAATGAAGAATCACTGTTCTCTCCAGCTTAGCTCAAGGACAGCAGTTGAATCCATATTTGAGACTCAAAGTTAGACGTGACCATATCATAGATGATGCACTTGCCCGGCTAGAGATGATTACTGCGGAAAATCCTGCAGACTTGAAGAAGAAGTTGTTTGTGGAATTTGAAGGAGAACAAGGAGTTGATGAGGGAGGCGTTTCCAAAGAATTTTTTCAGTTGGTTGTGGAGGAAATCTGCAATCCAGATATTGGTATGTTCACATAAGAAGAATCTACAAAATTGTTTTGGTTTAATCCATCTTCTTTTGAAACTGAGGGTCAGTTTATGCTGATTGGCATAGTACCAAGTCTGGCTATTTACAATAACTGTATACTGGATGTACATTTTCCCATGATTGTCTACAGAAAGCTAGTGGGGAAAAAAAGGAAATTTTTGTGACTTGGTAGACTCTTACCAAGTTTCATATCAGAGTTTAAAAGATTTCTTGGAGTATGAAGGGAGTATGGACGATGACATGATGATCATTTTCCAGATATCACAGACAGATCTTTTTGGTAACCCAGTGATGTATGATCTAAAGGAAAATGGTGATAAAATTCCAATTACAAATGAAAACAGGAAGGAATTTGTCAGTCTTTATTCTGACTACATTCTCAATAAATCAGTAGAAAAACAGTTCAAGGCCCTTCGGAGAGGTTTTCATATGGTGACCAGTGAATCTCCCTTAAAGTACTTATTCAGAACAGAAGACATTGAATTGCTTATATGTGGAAGCCAGAATCTAGATTTCAAAGCACTAGAAGAAACCACAGAATATGATGGTGGCTATACCAGGGACTCTGTTCTGATTCAGGAGCTCTGGGAAATCGTTCATTCATTTACAGATGAACAGAAAAGACTCTTCTTGCAGTTTACAATGGGCACAAACAGAGCATCTGTGGGAGGACTAGGAAAATTAAAGATGATTATAGCCAAAAATGGCCCAGACACAGAAAGGTTACCTACATCTCATAGTTGCTTTAATGTGCTTTTACTTCCAGAATATTCAAGCAAAGAAAAACTTAAAGAGAGATTGTTGAAGGCCATCATGCATGCTAAAGGATTTGGCATGCTATAAAACAAAACAAAACAAATAAAAAAGGGAAGAAAGAAACAAAGAAAAAATTTTAAACATTCTAGAAATATAACAAGAGGGATAAATTTTTGGTTGTGATAGTGTTCCAGTACAAAAAGCCTGTAAGATAGTGAACCACAGAGTCATCTATGTTTGTGCCTCCCTTCTTTACTGGGGACATGTGGGCTGGAACGGCAGATTTCAGCTACATATGTGAACAAATACTATTATTATTATAATTATTTTTTGCATGAAAGTGTTGCATATTTTTTCACTTGTATGTATAAAGAGGTTTTTCTGAATATTTATTTTATCACTTTTGCTTGTGTTTATTACTGCTTGAGATTGAGCCTTTTGAGTATGTGAAAAATATATACTAACAGAACTACTTTCCCAAGGAAAATATTACCACCATTTGTAGATCATGTTACATTCAAGTATGTGCCACTTTTCTGTCCCTGGATCTAACTCAAATCAGGAACTGTATTTTTTTTTTTTTTATGATTTGCTTTTGAAACTTGAAGGCTTGAAAGCAGTGTGAGGCAATTACTGCTGTTCTAGACCTTAAACAGTTTTCTGTGCAAAATCTTGTGAATCAATAAAGATGGCAGGGAGAAATTGGAAAAAAATTCATACAATGCAATATAATGGAACAAATTACTAACAGTGCCACATGCATGCATCTCAAAAACATGATGCTGAGTGAATAAAGCCAGACCCCAAATAGCATGCACTGCATGATTTCATTTATATGAAATTCTGGCGCACACAAAGCTAACCTGTGATGACAGAAATCAGAAAAGTGTTTGCCTAGGAGTGGTAATTGACTGGGGAGAAGCATAAGAAAAATTTGAGAGTGATAGAATATTCCATGTCTTGGTAAGACTATAGGTTACAACAGTGTATACATTTGTTAAAACTAATTGAATTGTTCATATACTTTATGTAAATTATACCTTAGTGAAAGAAAGGAGATAAAAGTTGATCCAGCTGGAGCAAGGGGATTTGGGATGATTTGGATGCTGGTGTGTTCTGAAGATACCTCTCTCCCTGGCCTTGCAGACCACACTTTGTTCCTCTTGACCCAAGAATGTCCAGCATGGAGTCTGAGACTGTATAGCTAAAGTGTCCAGGTAATGAGCTGAGAGAGTCTCACACAGTTTAGATGATATGGTTTGGCTGTGTCCCCACCCAAATCTCATCTTGAAATTTCTAGATATCCTCATATGCTGTGGGAGGGACCTGGTGGGAGGTAACTGAATGATGGGGGTGGGTTTTTTCTCATGCTGTTCTTGTAATAGTGAATAAGACTTATGAGATCTGATGGTCTTATAAAGGACAATTCTTTTGCACACACTTTCTTGCCTGCTGCCATGTAAGACATTCCTTTGTTCCTCCTTCGCCTTCTGCCTTGATTGTGAAGCCTCCCCAGCCATGGGGAACTGTGAGTCCATTAGACCTCTTTTTCCTTATAAATTACCCAGTCTCTGGTATTTCTTCATAGCAGGATGAAAATGGACTAATACACTAGACCTCACTGTGCATGAGGCAGAGCAGAGAAAAGTCACTTAGATTTTCCCAGCACCTTCATTCTATGTCCTGTTTTTCTATTGGAGGTGAGTTGCAGCATTCTGGGACAGAGCTAATGAACCTAAAGCAAACTTGATTGGGTCTGGAGGAAGTCAGTTGTGGATGCCATCTCCAGTTGCCTCTTATACCTGGTGCCAGGACAATGCAACCCACGCACCAATAAATATCATTCCCAAGGAGAAAGAAGCGGAGGAACAGAGGCTTGAATTGACTGAGTTTGATATTCAGTCGTTACATTTTAAAATGGTAGCAAATTGAGTTAACTTGAATGACAAGATTAGGTGTTTCAATCGTCAAAGAAAAATGAGTTCTCAAGAGCGAAGTTGATTTTAGTTAAAGTTTTCTCACCCTCAGTAGATGCTCAGAGCCATTTACAAGAATCCTCCTCTCTCCTTCCCTCTCTCAAATAAACATCAGTAACTTAAGGCTATAATTCTGAGAGGAAACACAGCACCTACATTGGTCATGGGAGCTCAGCTGAAGTGGCAGGGAAGAACTACAAACATGAAATTGATAGAATTACAAAAATTAAAATGCAGTGACATTTAAAAAATATGAAACTACCCATGAAAAATAATTTTTGCAGTTATAGACCAAAAGATAATTTTTTGCAAGGATGAATGGCATCTAGAAAAAAGCACTGACAATTTAAAAATGAAAACTAAAAACTACTTTGTTAGCAACATTTTATAGGTTTTTTTTTTTTTTTTTTTTAAAGCGGACTTAAACATGTTTTTATTTGACACTCTGATAATTTCAATTATTTGCTCCAGTGGGCAATTCATTAGGTAACTTTGAATGAATTTTCAGTACGGAAGCCTTCACTTACTTATGGAAAAACAGCCTTTTATGTAGGGCATGGTAAAACCTCAGTTACTGATCTATATGAACAATTAAAGTTATTTAGAGCATGTTAGCTAATGACATGGAAAAGCAGAAATCCTAGCTTCTGAGTTAGAGGAGGGTCTCTTGCTGTGATTGTGTTTTCTTAGTCCAATTCATGCATCCCTCTGAGTTTCTCTAACTGAATCCATTTATTATTTTTCCGAATTGAACTAGTTTTCTAATGATAATTTCTTATGAGTGTTTGAATCACCTTTCAGGCAAAATGCAGTGAATCATGATGTTTTAAGTACCCCAAGAATACGAATTTTCTAGAAAGTGGAGAAGCTGTATGGTTCGGGGATAATATGGTTTGGCCGTGTCTCCACCCAAATCTCATCTTGAATTGTAGCTTCCATAATTCCCATGTGTCATGAGAGGGACCTGGTGGGAGGTGATTAAATCATGGGGGTGGGTCTGTCCCATGCTGTTCTCGTGATAGTGAAAAAGGGTCATGAGATCTGATGGTTTTATGAAGAGGAGTTTCCCTGCACAAACCCTCTTTGCCTCCCTCCGTCCATGTAAGATGTGCTTTTGCTCCCTCTTGCCTTCCATGTTTGTGAGGCCTCCCTAGCCATGTGGAACTGTGAGTCCATTAAGCCTTTTTTTCTTTATAAATTACCCAGTGTGTCTTTATTAGCAGCATGAGAATGAACTAATACAAGGGACATTTAGGCACTGACAACCCTCACACCCTGGAGGAGAATGGAGCCTTGCTAGTGCTAACTTGGGTTCAAGAAGCAGGAGAGCTTGATATTTGTAAAAATTTTGTTAAAGGGTAGCACACAGATCTTAATGTACCTCATTTATTTTAATGTAAATGCTTCCGAATGATGATATATCAGCCATGTATATTAAAAGGGCAGTGGCTTGGCAGTTTTCCACCAAGACCTTACCTTGAGCCAAAAAAGTCAATGGTGGCTGCATGTCCTCCATTAAACATTTTGAGGGTGAAGAATTTCACATCAGTTTCTGCCCTGCATGGCCACTATGCTTTTAATAGGGTTTGTGACCTTGCTGAAGTAGTGTAGGAATAGAATGTAATCTCACAGTGGAGTGTGAATTTGTGGTTACTCCCCATCAATGCATATAGCCCACCAGAATAATCTATAAAATTTTGGGAAGAAACTTAATTTTCCTTTGCAGAAAGAAGCCTTTTTAAGAATAGGTAGGTTTTATGCTTTTGGGGCTAAATGTTCAACATGATCCAAGGATGTTGGGTATCTCTGAGAGTAACTTGTTGTTTCATGGTTGGCTCAACTCCAGTAGCGCAAAGATACTTTCAATTTAGTGGGAGAAATTCTTTTGAGATCAAGAAGGAAGAACTGGTATAAATATCATGATGATGAACTGAATTGTGTCCCTTCAAAATTTGTATGTTGAAGCCTTAACCTCCATTGTGATTGTATTTAGAGATTAGGTTTTTAGGAGGCAATTAAGTTTAGGCGAGGTCATAAGGGTGGGGCCCTAAGCTTATAGGATTAGTGTCCTTATAAGAAGAGAGAGAGAGAGAGACTGGCTGGGAGTTATGATTTATGCCTATAATCCTAGCACTTTGGGAGGCTGAGGTGGGCAGATTGCCTGAGCTTAGGTGTTAGAGACTAACCTGGACAACATGATGAAATCCTGTCTCTACTAAAATATAAAAAATTAGATGGGCATGGTGGTGCATGCTTATAGTCCCAGCTACTCGGGAGGCTGAGGCAGGAGAATTGCTTGAACTCTGGAGGCAGAGGTTGTAATGAACCGAGATTGTGCCACTGCACTCCAGCCTGGGCGACAGGCTAAGATCCTGTCTCAAAGAAAAAGAAGGTGGCTATCTGCAAGCCAAGAGAAGAGGCCTCAGAATGAGACATACCTTGCTGGCACCTTAATCTTGGACTTCTCAGCCTCTAGGATGGTGATAAATTTCTGTAGTCTAAGCTACCCAGTCTGTGGCATTTTGTTATGGCAACCTAAGCAGACTAATACAATTACTGAACACCAACTTAAATACTTCTTGAGTCTCACAAGCTATATATGCTTGCTGGGTTAAATTTATTGAGTCAGATGTTTTATACACACACACACACACACACACACACACACCCCATACCAGTATTCACCTTTAGAAGTGGGGATGGTGTGGGCATGATGGCATGCATCTGTAGTCTCAGCTACTCAGAAGGCTGAAGCTGGAGAATTGCTTGAACCTGGAAGGCGGAGGTTGTAGTGAGCCGAGATGGTGCCACTGCACTCCAGCCTGGGCAACAGAGTGAGACTATGTCTCAAAAAAAAAAAAAAGAAGTGGGCATGGTGGGTTAAACCACACCAAAGTTCTGGGGTGCTATCAGAGTGTTCTGCAGTCATTGGCCAGGTTACCTGATTTCATCCTCTAGTGACATCCCACAGTAAAGTTACATGGGCCTATACATTATTCAAATCCCTGACAAAGTAATGTATTTCTCTTTAGTTCATAGATTTCTTAACCTTGGGTTACAGGTAGACTTCATGGTTTTATAAATTTTGTAAAATTTTATGCTAAATATATCTATGTGCATTTTCAGAGGAGAGGATTCAT